GACTTATATGCATCTGTTAATAGAGCCAAAGAAACAAAAGCACGGAGTTACGTTTCCAAATAGTATGAGCCTAACAAACTAGGCATGGACTCTCACACAGCTGGCATGCATCAGCAGCCAACCTCCACACTCGGTCACATTCATATAACCCCACCCAAATCAGCATAACTGAGAAACTGGCCCATTGGAATAAACTTCCACTGTCTCAGCCTTGAGCTGTAAGAGCTGGCCAGAATATCTGTACATGAGCAAACTCTACCATATCTACTTTTTAACATCAGTTCTGTGTTGAATACTCCTCAAACAGGCATTATTCTAGGACTCTGACACATTATTCATGTAACGCTACAGAAGTACATCTACACAGTAAAGTGCAAATACAGCAAACCTCATTTGCCCATGGTCCAAGCAAATGTAAGGCCACGTGCGGCCTCATGAGCAAATTACGGAGTCGGTGCAGCACTGAGTCCATGGTAATGGTATGGGGTCTGTATTGATATAACTTGCTTATTAGCCCAGTGCTGAGCAGTCACAGCTTCTGCTGAGCTACATCCATCCACTCAACTGCTGGCACTTTAGTTTTATCTGTGTACAAGATGATAGACACGAATCTGCATATCCCAGAGACACTCTGCTCTGAGATTCTCAATTTCTAACCCTGTTTCCAGAGATGAAAACCTGGAGCAGGGGGCGGGGAGGAGGAAGAGCCAAATTCCTGGCAGAACTTTGGAGCCAGCTTCCTCACTAAATTCTGGCTTCACTATAATGGCTCCCACCACAAGAGTCTGGCTGCAAAGAATACTGTCTCTTCAAAACCCAAGAGCTTTACCCAGGATTTTTCCAGTTGCATCTGTCATTCTGGATGACTGGTGAAATTGCTTGAACCCTCAAGATACTGCAGTGCTGCTAGAGAAGTCAGGACACTGTCTGAACTCAACAGGGAGGTGAATAGAGTTGGATAAAATTTACAAAGCAACTCTACCACAGACACACATCAGCATCTATTGCCTGAAGTGTGGGATATGTGCTATACTAATTTTACCTATCTTCACTTCCCATTTCAGACAGCTTTCAGTAACAGCAGAACCCAGAGTTGACAAACATCCTGCATCCCAACAGCTCAGGCTCCCATTTATCTGAGCAATCAAAGAGGCTGTGGCGATGCCTAGGCAGGTACTGCATTTCATGTTCCAGGTTGGCAACATTCTTTCATTTCAGATAAAGCACAGATATATTTTAAACTCTCTTTCCTCAGTTCTGCAAATAACTCTATTCAGAATAAAGAAAATCGTTCTCTTTAATTTGTTGTTACCTCAGTTTTAAGAAAAAAAAGTATGAAAGACACAAAAATCAGCCAAAAAATCCAAAAGGGCATTTTCAGAATACAGCAACGGCAAAATACACTCAATGTTGGTTCCACTCCTTAGTTTTTACTACACCTGTTCAAGTAAATCCTTTCTCAATGGCTTATGGATTGCAAGTTTGATTATTCTCTTGAATTCTAACACCCATAGACTTGATTTTACAATATCAACGGGGATACATAAAAGCCACACACTCTGCAGGATAAATGAATTACTACGGTACCGTTATCTATTTACCAGCCACCAGCTGCACTCACACGCACTTGCGCTGCAGGTGCCCAGCAGTATTTAAAGCAGAAGAAAGCTTCATTTCTCCACTTGTAATCATACTTCACAATCTAAACCACACATTATTTAAATAATCTTTCAAAGAATGCTTTGGAGAAGAGGAGAAAAAAACCCCAATCCCGCTGGATAATTACACCTGTGTCTGCATTTAATATGAAAACACAAGTTTTGTAACGTTAAGACATTTCATGCCAGCACTGGCAGCACTCCGGAGCTGAACCTTATGCAGGCTGCCAGTCGCCGTAGGTGGCAGACTCACACCGTCTCCCGCTGTCTTTGGGGCTTTGTCCCCAAAGAACAACCGCAAAAGCATCGTTTCAACAATGGCTTAGCTACAGCAAACACATTCATGACTCATTTTAAGGAAAGAGCAGCAGCAAAGATAGCTATCAGCACATAGCCTTCCTGTTCCTAAGTGAGCAATCTGTATTTCTGTCCTCATCAAACAACTGCTCGGCCCACTGGCCTCTCAGCTCAGGTGGTCCATGAGTTATCTCACTTTTAAGTTTACTCAAACCCATCGTGGGCAGCATTAAATATTGCTAAAAGCCCCATAAGGTATACATTCAATAGAAAAACCATTTTTGTGATCATGAAAAATAACAGATTGAGTCATCATCAATGTGATAGTGGAAAAATAAGACTATAGGCTTTTGTGACTACAGTTAACTGGTAGAAGTTCCTGATTCCATCAGGCACCAGTTTGGCAACTGGTAACTTAGATGGCTTTCTGCTAGTTGGCCTACTGCTTTTTTTCTGAAGGCTAGTGTGAGCACAGGAACTCCAGAAAGCAGTCTGTAACTGTCTGTCCTTTTCCAGGGAACGTTATAAAGCCGTCAGCTCATTTGAATGAGCTTACATTTGAAAAAAAGAGTGGGTTTTTCACTTTATTGATGCACTCTTCCACACAGGATTTTTTCAAAATCTACATCAAACAAGGAAAAACAAATGCTGAGAGGGCAGATTTAGGGCAATTTATCAAGGTCTGGGAAATAGCTTCCAGATGGATAGAGCTGTTTGGTGCTGGCTGGTGAGAAGGAAGCAAGGTATTGTTATTGAATTAGAATGAATCTCAAGTGGAGAACTGCGTGGTAGATAGAGTGCTCCTTTCATATGGTTTGCATTTGGACCTGTCATATTTCATTTTTATTCAAAAACCTGTGGTAAAGACACGCAGTTCTTTTTTGCTTATTAAATTTCCACCAATTCTCCCTGTACAGTTATCCAGGCAGTATTTTTAAACTCTGCTCTAGGTGCCATGCCTGGATCTGTTTGCTCTTTGCCATGCTTGGATGACAGCTTGGTGCTTACAAGCCCACAAGTGGTTTTAGGTTTTGCATTCACACACTGAATATTACCTGATTAAGTGTGTGAGAGAGGAGAAAAGCTGGATGCTCTTTGAGATCTTTAAACTGAGTTACTTCAAGAGTTTATCAAAACTAAGTAAAATGATGCATACTGAGGTCTAATGCAGACTAAAAAGTGATTGCTAATATAACGAGAGGATAATTCTTGATTATTCTTGTTAATAAATCCTCCCTTTGTAAACATGTCTTCTAGCAGTATAAATGCATCTACACTAGTGCGTTTGCTAATACTGAAATACTGGTAAAAAAATCTAACTCATAAAAACCTAAGGGCAAAAAAGAGATACGCTTATAACCAACAAATTTGTGCTTTGAATAACCTGAATATCTGTTCCACGATATGTGCCTTATAGAGTAAGACATGCACAAAGATTTATGTATTTTCCTGCTAGTTTTGAAAGCATTTACTTCTCAAGTTATTCTAACAATCACCTAATTCCATCTGAAGAATTCAACCCAGTTTATGTTAAACATCAAATTAAAATGACCGTTCTTCTATTAACCCGAGGAGATAAACAGCCAGAGTTTCCTTCATTGCAAAGAGAAATCAATTGTTACCAAGTAGCTAGTTTCAGTTAAATGATTTTCTGACAATGTGGTCTTTTAAGATCCTAGAAAAGTTGCTGGTTGATATGCCAATGGGTAGAAGGATTTTTAATGAGAGGGAATTTCCAATGGTTTTTTCAGTTATTTAGGAGAATTGTTATTATCCTTTAGTACTAGGTGTGGGGGCACTGGGGTGAAATAGAAGAAATGAGCTTTACATCTTCCCTTTCCAATGTTTCAGGGATCTACCGCAATTACTCTGTTACCATCTGGGATGTATCCTAGGCAAACAGAGAGGGGAAACAGTGAAATCATCAGAACAAATTCCTAAATCCTACCTGAAATGTAAGACATGGATACTTGTGCTTACTTCCCACATGTATGTCTGGTTTTGCCCTTCCTTTTTTTCCCCCTACAGTTCTTATTACTCTGTATTTTATGAGCATCTGCTTCAGCTGACCAAGACTCTGTAAGAAATACCCAATGAGGCAAATAAAATCACAGTCTACAGGATGCAACCTACTTCTTTGGTCATAACATCCGATCCCCTCCAGCCTGTGAACAGATCATATGCCTCATTTATTACTTATACTTAATCCTTCAGCTACTGACTACTGAGCTAGATTTCCAGTTATATCAACTCTGAAACAAAGTCTTGGTAGCCTTAAGCTCTCATGATGCAGTGTTAACAACGGGAGTTACACATCACTACCAAAGAAACTGCATTACTCAATGACACGATTTTCCAGTTTTCAAATGTGTTATCAAGAAACTGACTCTCCAGCTTACAGTGCTTGGCATCTACAGGATTTCACAGCTGCAGATCACTCTGTGGACATTAGTGCTCAGAAGTCAGAGACAGCTGAGCTAGTGGTTGTGTCTGATCAGTTATCACCTTTCTGCAAATCAGTCTATGTAAGATGGATGTAAACTCACAGGTATCAACGTTCTGTTACTGTGGACTAAGACTAAACTGGTCGTTAATTCTCATCTGAACTCTTCCGCTTTGGCCTGGCAAGCCTATGAAATGGTTATCTTGTTGCCAACAAAGGAAAAGAAATTAGAGGGAAGATAAAATCAACTTGCCATTTCATGTGGATGTCTACATCACAGAATCAGAGAATGCCCAAGGTTGGAAGTGACCTCTGGAGATCATCTAATCCAACCACCCTGCTCAAAGCAGGGTCAGCTAGAGCAAATTGCTCAGGATGATCTGTATTGTCACAGCATAGACAAAAATAAATGCCTTTTTCTGATTGCGCAGGATAAAACTTGTAGTGGGGTGCAGTTGAAAGGTCACACACAATCTGCTTGAGTAAGGGATCTTTTGAGCTCAGTTGCCTGTAAAATTGACTTCTGATGGTACAACAATTAAGAAAACAGAAGGGATGGGGAACATTTTATTGCTTTTCATGTAGTTCATTTGCAGTCATACCTTGAAGCCAAAAGGGCAAGTGCATTGATAAAACTCCACTGGATCATTGTTGCATGTCCCATTGTTCTTACATGGATTGGAGAGGCAGGGGTTACACTTGGACACAACACTGATATCTACTGGCTCTGGAAAGGCAAAACACAGTGTATTAATAGAGAACTGGATTACAAAATTAATACTTCCCATACTCAGACATACACTTTTTTCCTAATGCAGTATTCACCCTGCACTGGCACAAATGTACATGCTGTGGGTGCAACTTTACACAACAGCATGGAATTCCCAGGGATCAGAGAGGTTTTAAGTACTTAAATCAAGTGCTAGGCAAGTCTCAATGATGCTTATATTCTCCTGGATGTGCAAACATCAGCTCTGAAAAAAACATGCTGGGAATCTCCAGA